GCTCTTTCTCTGGGTCACTTTCTCCTGATAAACTTTGGACATTGAGACATTTCTCCTCTGTTGTCATCAGGAAGGGGAATGGGCTTATTTAACAGCCTTTTATGGGAAAACAGTGTAGGGCTTTTTTTCTCTTTTCTATATTAGGAGTCCTCCCACCCCCCAATCGGAGACGCGATAACCAATCTCAAGCAATCTGAAGGAAAAGCAAGACGGGGAATGAATTCCTTAGAAGAGCAAATAAGAGGAGGGGACGCTTTTATCCCTTCTTTGGTTCAACTAAGCTCCTATTATGATTGGAGAAGAGCACTGAGAATTATAGGATTTAGGACTGGAACCTTTGAGGCCATCTGGTGATTTCTTCCATGGTATAAATATACCGTCTTCTAATCTGTAGCAAATGGTCTGGCTGAGTCCTCTCTGCTAGAAGATCCTCCGTGGTGGAGAGGACCCTGCATGGGGGCAACCTGTTCCGGTAATGATGACATTATTATTGCTATGGGTTGCATAGCAGAGAGGTTAAAAGCAAGGTTCTGCAGGAAGGCTGCCTGATCTCCAACACCAGTTTTGCCCCAGCTTCATTTGTTGGTCCTGCAGATTCCTTCTCCGACTGTCTCCATCCTGCTCTGTTCCTCGGGAGGTTGAACTACAAGGTCTGCATATGAGTTGTGCCAATGTGCTCTCCTGCCCTCTGCTTCCAGCTTTGGCCAACAGGCAGCCCCGCAGGGGAGAGAACAGGAGGGAAGTAGGGGTCAAGTTATTTATTCCCAGGCCCCCTTCCAGCAGGTCGCCATGGCAACAACGTCTCAGTTTATGTCAGCTGGAACTGAGCGCTCCCTCTGGGTTCAGGTTAGGGTGGGTAATGGTGCCCCACTGTTACAGTCTGTGGGCTCTGCACTATCCCTTAGAGTTTCCCTACATCCTTCCCATACCCTTCTAAATAGTCTCTTTGTTAACCTTTGCACAACGTACTTAATTTGAACATGCCATCTTTTTCTAGCTGGGACCTTGACTGACACAACCACTCACTAACTGCGTAATGCTGGGCAAATTCTGTAACCTCTCTTGGACTCAGTTTTCTCCTCTGTAAAATGGGGGTAATGATAATAATATATGCTGTAGAAGGTCATCTTAAGAATCAAATGAGATAATATATATATTAAGATACTTTGAACACACAGTTAGGACTCAGCAAATGCTAGGGTAATGCTCCAACATAGTCTCCAACTGGGACCATGAAGTCCCAGCCTAAACACTACCTTAATTCAACCGTGGTAAGTCACTTCTCACAGCTTGGGTTAAGCCTTAAGTCAACCATCAGTAAGGCAGAAAAGAAAAAAATCCTTCAGAGTAAAAACTAACTTTGAACATGCCTTACGTCACCTATCAGAGGACAGTACAGTCAAGTTTTTGGTATTCAGTCCTGCATTGTAGTTTTTATTCCTGCTAAGTCTGAGAACCTGTGGGCAAGACTTAAGAAAGGTAAATCAGCATGCAAATGTGAGAGCATCCCACCCCTTCTGCTTTTGCCATAACCATGGAATCCCTAGAGGAGACTGAGAGATGCTAGAAAATTCGAAAGTGTTCTTACTGGCTTGTAGCGTTGACCTCGTTCTGTTCTCATATCAGGGCTTTATCGACTTAATGTTGGCTGGGAGATTTGTATAGTTTGTTGTGAAGATAGAAAGGAGTTAATGGGGTTACACTTTAGGTGGCTTGAGGGGAGGCTAGATTTTCACATGGGCTCAGTGGGAAATGAAACGGGGTGCGTGCTGCTGTTCCCACAAGTCCAGGATGACCCTTTCTTGAGCACTTAAGGTGCCAGGCTCAGAGCTAAGCACTTCCTACACGTTAGTTATCCCATTTTAACCTCACGGCAACCACGAGGTGGTATTATTATGTTCTCTGGTTTTGAGATGAGGAAGCTGAACACCTCAAGTGCCCAGCCTAAGAATACAGTCTAATTGACGCCAGGGGCAGAATTTGATGCGTGTCTGCCTGACCCAGAGCTGAGTTTGGACCCGGCACCGAGGCAGTGTGGGAGTGTGGCTTACCCTCAGTGTTCCATATATGTGCAAACCGAGAAGAAAACTCCATGTTTTATAGCTTTTCATGTTAGTTGTCCACAATAGCACACACGTGTTTGCCTGGATAGATTTTTAAATGCCCTGTATTTGGCGAGAGGAGGGTCAGCCTGGTATCTTCCTATTGTCTTTGCAAAGGCTAAACACACCAATCTGCTTCAAGTACTCCCCAGGGCCATGTTTCTGGACCCCTTTCCATCTTTTTGAATCATCTCTAGTTCAGTGGTTCCCGATGCTGGCTGCATAGTAGGGGAGGTTTCACCTGGGGAAGTTAAAAAAAAAAAAAACCTGAGTCAGGGCCCTTCTCCAAATCTCTGGAAGGTGGCCCTAGCATTATTGTTTCTAAAAAGCTCCCTCAGTACATTTTAATGGGCAGTCCATATTGAAAAGCACTCCTCCAATTTGCTTAAAAAATGAAGAATTAGTGGGAATGTTGGCAGGGCCCTCTGGAGCGAGGAAAAAGAATCAGTTCCTTCTAGTTAATGATTATTATCCAGAATTAGCTGTGGCAAATTCCACATGATTTAATAGGCCTCATCTCCAAGGGCAGCTGAATGAAAATGTCTCTCAAGTATAAGATGGGTGTCAAGGTTCCCAAACATAGTCGTTTGCAGGAAAGGTGGCAAAGTGGAGCCGCTTCTGTCTAATCTGGCCATGCTTGTTGGTTCACTGAATTCTCCCAGGTCCCGAACACTGAAAATATAATTAAGACTGTTTTTCCATTGGATGGTTTAAAAAGTGAAATCAGCTCCATTTCCTTTTCTCTGGTCTTTTACTTAACTCTGTTTCTGTACCACCAGGTGTGTTGCCCTTGGCAGTGAGGGCTAAGGAATGGTGCGGCTCGGCCCTCCCCACCTGTGTGCAGACACCGAGGAATTCTGATGGAGGTCTTCCTTTGTGCTCATTGTAAAGGGGGTTGAGGTCGTGCTGCTGGGATCATTAACGTCTAGAGAGATGCCCATGGCTTTGTTTTCCAGCTGCCACCTCGGCAGAAAGGGCAGCAAAATCCCTAAATTATAAAGAGAAAATGAGACTGTACATATTCTGCCCTTGACAACCTCACATACAAAGTCACACATCCACTCTTGACAGGACTAGAGAGAAGGCAGTGCCAAGCATCACACGAAGGTTCAGGAAGGTAGTTTTTCATCTACAAATTATTATAAATCATAACTAAACTTTAAAAAAGAAAATGCACAATTAGAGGTGATATGAAGGGTCCTAGGATAGATACGATATAGGTCTGGTTCATCTAATGGGGCACACAGGAAAGAGAGAGAGAGCAGGAGGGAAGGGGAGAGATGGAGGAAGATGTTTGGATTCAGATTTTGGGAAGGGAGGTGAAAGGAGGAGGTGAGCAGAAACGTTTTAAAACCTTCTATTTAGTTCTTTTCTCTTTTTCTTGTTATTTCTCTAATCTGCCTATTCACCCTTGGATATCGTGCTCAAGAAACTATCCTCCAAGGAACCTCAGATTAAACTGAACAATTTTTGAGGGTTTACTGGGCGCCAGACTCTAGTTAAGAGCTTTGCGTATCTTTTACATTTCATTTCGATTTCTTAGCTATGCGAGTTTGGGAATGGTACTCCCGTTTTGCAGATGGGATGAAGAGCAGTTGAGGACTTTCCTCACAGATTATTCCACTGGAAGGTGAACTCAAGCTCTCAGATACCAGCGTCAGGCATTTAACCACGAAGCGTCCCCGCTGAGTCTCCAGCTCCCCTGGCACGGTCCCCGGGATGAACTCCGCGAGTTTCCACGTGGCCCGCTTCATTCGATCTTCGGAAAGGGGTCAGCACAGCCACGGGGCTGGAGAGCTCCTCTCCCGGGGAATAAGACTAGACAGGCGGCGACTGAGGACACTACGGGCGTCCCAAACCCCCTCCCGGAGGAGCCTGGAAAATTCCAAGGGGCAGGCTTGCACCGCAGATATCTCTCGGGCGCGTTGACACTTTGCAAATCTCTCTCTCAAGAGAGCCTGTTTAATTCTCACCGCGGCCCTGCAAAGGGGGTTATTTTGGCCCCATTTTCCAGAAGAGGAAATTGAGGCCTGCCCTCCCGGGGTGGGTGTCTGTAGGTGTCTGCCTCTTCCTAGAGATAATAAAATCTGCACGGATTTTGTCTTTATTATGCAAAGCCGGCGTGGAGGCTCGGACCCTCTCTTGACAGAGCCCATCTGTCTCTGCGCACCGCCCCCAGGGCACAGAAGCCTAAGGCAAGCGGAGCAGAGTGGGTGAAAACGCGTCCCCACCACTTGCCTCGCCGTCTCATCGCGCCTTCCCCTACAGCGCCCCGGAGGCCGACCTCCCTTGGCTTAAAAAAAAAACCCCAAAAAACTACATCCTCCTCAGCACCCGCCCGCCGCCCCAGGGATTTGCATTAATATTAATCCCGATGCATAATTGAAGGCCGGAGATTTACTCGGGCCATAGCGGGGGAGGGCGCGCAACTGGGCTGTATTTCGGCCGCGCCACTCGTGTTTTGGCCGCTTGGGTTCCGCGGGGCCTGGTACCCAGGACGTGGGGGGGTGGGGTGGGCGTGCCGTCTGTGAGGATGAGCTTGGGAGTGAAGTGAGCCGGAGCGACTGTGCCAAGGAGTGAGGCGGGGTGCTGGGGGCTGCTCCAGGGAGGCGGGGATGGAGGGGCATCCCAGGTCTCCGCGACGTGGCTTGTGCTTCGCCCAGCGCGGGGTGACCCCGGGCCACGCGGGCTTGAGGGGAAACAATAGAGACTCCTTAGATCCTGGGCTCCTGCCACGGACGGCCCAGGCCTTCCCGGGAGACCAGCGGGGCTTCTTTGCTTATTTGGCTAATTTATGGCGAGAGGCTGGGGGTAGGGATGGCAGAGGAGGGACGGCGTCTGGAGACGGGGGGCGAGGGGGCGGCAGTTAAAGGAGTCTCCTGAGGCGGCGGCGCTGGTGATGTCAGCTCTCGACGAAAATAGAGAGGGATCGCCTGCAAATCCCCCGCTCCGGCGGGGCTAAACCTTGCAATCCCTCCCCGACCGGCGCGGAGCCAGGGCGCAGCGGCCTCCACCGCCTCCCCCGGCGCGCGCACACACCCACACACCCGCGCACGCACGCACACACTCCCCTGCACACCCACGGCACACGCACTCGTCGCCCTCCCCTGCCACCGTCCTCCGAGCCCGCGCTCCGCCACTCGCCCCGCGGCGAGCCCCACAGCAAATACAGGTGGCAGCGGCGGCACGTCGTCCCTGCGCGCACTCCCGCAGCCCGGGGGACGGCGCTCTCTCGAGGAAGCCACCCTCCGAGGTCCCCGCAACGCCCCCCGAGCGCCCAGCCAAGCCCTAGCGAGGCCGGCGGAGGGAGCGCGGTGCCGAGCGGAGACGCGGCTTAGCTCCGGCTGGAGCCTCTTGCGCCCGCTGAGGCGCTAAAGGGCTTACCCAGGAGGGGGGTGGAAGGGCGGGGAGAGGCTCCCCCTTAAATACCGCGCTCGGCCACACTCGCGCGCTCACCCCGGCACCCGCTCACTTCTCGCCCGCCGCTGCCGGATTGTGCCGAAGAGGAGGGGGCGTTCCCCAGGCCATGGCATCGACAGAAGGGTGAGGGGCTTATTCACTGTACCCGCAGCGAAGCGGGGGGCGCGCGCGGTGTGGTGTCCGCCTATCCGGGATGGGAACAGAGAGACGCCGGCGCCGGGCCTCGGAGACGGTGGCAGAGCGATGGCCTGGCTGGGGGTGGGACGGTGGGATGGTGGTGGTGGGGGGAATTGATTTTCTTTCGAGAAGCTGGCTGCTTAACCCTTTGAAGATGCGAGAGACGGAGGATTGCTTTATTTTAATTAAAAAGGTTCGGTGGAGGTGTGAAAAAGAGTGACGAAAAATCCTGTTGAGGTTACTTTTGAGATTTGAAAACAATAAGGGATTGGGCACTGTAAGAGCGGCAGACATTGCTGAGGGAAGCAGCACTTGGAGCGCGGCGCCGGTTGTATGGTGGGGACCGGCCGGGAATGAATGAGCTGGGACCCGGGCCGGGGCGGGGCGAAGACCGGCGCGCGCCGTCTTGAATGTCAGATTTGCAGAGTCGCGGAGTAGATACCCGGCCTGCTCCGATCTCTTCTTGTCCCTGGATGGCGGAATCTCCCTGGCCAGTGTTAAGGAAAAGTGGAAAAGATTTGGGTGCTTCCCGGGAAGAGGCAGGAACATCAGTGGCTTTGGGCAGGGACAGGAGTCCCCAAACTCCAGCGGAGCGTTGACCTCCCCCCGCCCCCATTCTGCCCGCTGTCTTGGAGTTGTCTCCTGCCTCCTGAGGCTGCAGTTGGATGGAGAATGATCTCAGTGATAAATAAAGGGAGTGTCTTTAGCAAGAGGGAGATGGGGCTGCAAGAATCCCTTGAACACTCGTACCTCAAAGGAAGTGTCCAGAACAACGTCCCTGGACCAGTATCTCCCAGGAAACTTTCCCGGCTCGGTAGAGTCTGAATAGGAACGAAAGACTGGTTGGGGAGCTCAGCCCTTTGGTTAATTCACAAAAGTGCACTAGATACTTGCAAGAGACCACTGGCTCCGTATTAAGTGGAAAGCAAATATCAGAGGCCCCTCTGCGCACAGGTGGAAGGTCCTTGGTGCTGGAGCTTCCCAGGGCTTCTGCCTAATAAATTTTACCAACTCTGCAGGCTTGTTTGGGGGAATAGGTCTCTAAGTAGGAGTATAGCGCGGCTCGAAGTTAGATCTCTAGACTTCAACCTCGAGCGAAGGGCAGATATTTCTAAAACTCTCTCTGTGTCCAAGAGAAGGAACTCATCCCTTTTCTGGCCCCTGGAGTCCTTCCAAAGAGGGGCTAGCACCTTGTGGTTGCATGAGATTTCTCCTCTTTTTGTCCTAATGTTTCAGCAGTGTGGACCTTTTTGATTATTAGTTCTCCAAAGAGATGCTCCAGGAAGATGCTTGTGTACAAGGAGGGCGGTACATTGTGCTAACACAGATCTCTAGAATTAAATATTCAGAGCTCATATGTCTCAACCCCAGTGTCTTTGCCTGTTTAATTAAATAGTCTTTCATATTAGAAAAGATATAAAGGCATTTCTGGCTGCCTTAAGGTCCCTTCTAGATGTGTCCCTGCTTGTAAAGGCTAGGTTGAAAACATCTGTGAAAGAGATTGATGATGGCAGTCTTTCAAATCCTGCATCCTTATTTCGATGGCCAGATAGTAAAGGGAGATGTTAAGACAACAACAAAAGTCCCCAAATTAAGTGTGTTTATCTCACCTGTGTCCTAAATGAGACCTGCCCAACGATGACTCTATATTTGATTTAAATATAGAGCAGAAGTGATTCACATTCAATTAATTAATGTCGTATTATACACTCTGCATAGTCAGGAAAAGATTGGTCAAAGGAATTTGCATTTAGGAGAGGAAAGAATTGAGAACATTTGAAAGGCTGGGAAACAAATACAGAAAGAGCATGACACATTGTCACTTCAGAGCAGTTACTGATGAGCAGGTGACATTCTCAGAAGCCCTGGTCTTTCCTTTTTTCTTCTCTTCCTTTCTTCCATCTTTTCTTCCAGGTGCATTTACTCAGTACTTGTTGGGTAGACCTCACATGCTAGGCACTCTAGGGGGCTACAAAGACACAAGAGTTTGATTAGTAAATTGTTCACGTGGTTTAGTGAGATTCTCTCGCCTCTTCTGATGTCTTTGGTTAATGTGCCTGACAGAGGGACGTTCACTAAGAATCCTCAAGCTGGTTGCCTTTGTTAGCCTGTGTCTTCTAACAACGTTGAAACTGTTTCCTTGAGACATGCATTGCTGAGAAGGAAGCAAAAATAACAATAGAGTCTTATGCTTTCAGTGTATGTATTTTCCAAATTTTTTTTTTTTTTTTTTTTTTTTTTTTTTTGTGGTACATGGGCCTCTCACCACTGTGGCCTCTCCCGCTGTGGAGCACAGGCTCCGGACACGCAGGCTCAGCGGCCATGGCTCACGGGCCCAGCCGCTCCACGGCATGTGGGATCTTCCCGGACCAGGGCACGAACCCATGTCCCCTGCATCGGCAGGCGGACTCTCAACCACTGCGCCACCAGGGGAAGCCCCAACGTATGTATTTTCAGTTCAACTCTGTTTGATCCAGAATGTTTGGGGAATGGAAGAGTGTGGCAAACTGACCATTCCGGTCACCATTTATTTGGTGATGTAGTTACAGTCAACGGCATATGCTGATTACCAATTTTGAAAGAATTATTAGAAGCAATAGTGACATCTTATGTTTGTTTAGCACTTCACTTTCAAAGCTCATTTGTGTACATCATCACATTTGATTCTTCCAGTAACTGTGAAGTAGGTGGTCCAATGAGGATAGACTTTAAGAATAAACTGATATAGAATGTAATGTCATCTTTCCCAAAAGATTCCAGGACTTGGCTAAACTTTGGAGTTATCGTCTGGAAATGTCAATTATCCTGGAAGAGTGTGCTAGGCGTGTCTGGAGCAGGAGATTACCAGCCTTCTCTCAAAACTTTGGCATACACTGTGCAAATTGCCTTGTGGAATATTCTTATTTTCAGCCTGTGCACTTGGTCATTGCCTTTGCAAAGCATGCTCAAACACGGTCTGGTTATTTGAGGTTTCTGATGACTTGGAACTGGGATCATTAGCATCCAGCTTCTAGAAAACTCAACAGTGGACCCTTTGGTAGTTCCCAGGCCCTGAGAGGTATTTTCCTGCAAAGCAACGTCTAATTTGATAGTTGAGCATTCTGTTTTTCTGAGTCCTCAGACACAGCTAGAATTATGGTTTTGGCCCCTGATCCAAATTGGAAAGAGGTTATCAGTAGTTGGTGGCAGACGGGCTAGTGTCCATTATAGACTGAATTATGTTGGAGCATTCAGATGCTGTAGAGGCAGGCATTTTAGAGCTACGTTCTGGGGGTGGGAGACAGCTAGGTCACCATGTGTGTCACAGGTCCAAGGCGATCTATCTTCTGATAAGCTCCCAGGAGCCAAGGGGTCAGAGCGAAAGCCAAGTGTGAGGGCTTGGGTTTCAATTTGACTTAGAAAGCCAGCGAAACAGAAAACTGCTGACGGCAGAAAAACCCCACAAGAGAGACCACTGGATGTATTATTTCAAGCAAACAAAAGCAAAACATAACGATTGCTTTCTCCCGCCCCCCCCCCCTTGGGAATGAGGTTGAGGTCAGCAGGAGGAAGATCCCATGGAATAGACTTATCGGGAAGGGAATGGAGGGCATGGGGTTTGGGGTCCAGAGGAGGTTGGTTGCACGTTGCATGCCTCAGGCTTCACTGCAGTTTTCATTTTCAAGAATATAGAAATCAGCCTCCTTGGGTAAAATAAAGATGAGTGAAACTCAAATGAGAAAGCCATGTCATGTTTACTAACATGGCCTCTTGTGAGTGACTGAAAGCTTAATTCTCACGAAATAATTGCTAAATCCAAATGAAGCTTGTGACGTGGAAGAGCCGAGATGTTAAAAACCAAAAGGCATCAGAAAAAAAAAACCAAAAGGCAGTTCTGCCCATAAGTTTCAATGGCCACTTCTTTTCTTCTTTAATGCAACATAATGAGGGGCTGTCTCCTCAGGCTTCAGATTTCAGGGAATTGTCGGACAGGGAAACGTCTTTAAGAGATGGTGGTGCTTTGGCTGCAGAAACGAGCATTGTTTAACAGCAAAGTGTGAGATTTCTGGGTCATTGTGCCATAAATCATACAGATCCAGGATTGCAAAACTGACAGTTTGAAGCTCAACACAGGTTGATTTCAATGGAAATCTCATCTCCCCATCCTCTTCCATGGCTGTGTCACACAATGCCCAGATGTCTGGTTTTCCCCCTTTCAAAGGCAAACTCAATTGTTTTCCATACTGATTCTTTCCCCCTTGGGACTGCCTTGCCTCTTGGAACGAAGGGCATCTACTCATTTCGGTCACCTGCTATACTTATTTTCACCGAATCAGACACCCATCATTTAAAATCTTCTAGCAACAGTAGGCAAAAGAGTCATTCTCAAGATGAAATTTCAGTTTTGTTTGCATTTTCACAACGTGTCCTGGAAGTCTGAAAAAGCTAACAAGTGCCACACACCGCCTTGCTTGCTGTCTTCTCTCCCATGCCCTTAACAGCTTGTTGGGGGCCAGCAGAATGTTTCATAGCAAGGGTTTTAGTATCCAGATTACGGCAAATCTCTTTATTTACCAGATCCTGAGCTTGCTGTCTCCTCCCTCTGCCCGCCCCTCCCCCCTCCCCTCACCAAGGGCCAAGTCCTTGGAATGAATTAATTAAAGGAGTGTTTAAAAATATCTCATTGCTCCATCTCCACGTGCTCTGTCGTTGATTGGAGGCAGATGGGCTGCATATTTGTCAGTAGAATAGAGAAGGACTAGCATCTCGTTATAAATCTGTCTGGTTGGCATCAGATGGTGGCAGAAATACAATGGGCCAGCCATATTAAAGGAGAGTAAAGACAAGGGGAGATCCTTAAACTTTAAAAAAGAACACCTCATTCTCTTAGTGCTCGGTTTTTTGTTTTTAATTTCAGTGGTTGTTTTCCAACAGTGTTGATGTTTATTTGCTTATCTTTCATTCGT